AGAGGAGTTATCGTACAGAGTAGAAAGGCAAGAGGAGATCACATTTTACGGTGAAGACCAAGACCCACGAAAAATGGGCTTAAACAAACGAAAACAAACCCTTGTGTGTTGGAATGGTGTGTAATTCTAAGTTACGACTTGTGGTTTCGCGGAGAATAAAGCGCAAATGTCAAAATAATGTTACGTTAATGTTACTGTTAGAGTAAAGTTTCTAAAGAGTAATAACATAAATAAATGACCTGAATGGGCAATCCTATGGGCGTTACTGGGCTCTTGTTGTGGCATGAGAGATCCTGCAATCTAATATCCAAAGCCATATGTGATTGGCCACCCCGGGCCCATGATCAGGGGTCCATCATTCAATCAATCCACATATGGAACAGAGACATTCAATGAGCCATGCCTATCAAGTAGTCGTCCCCGCAATTCCCATTGTAGCTTTAGCGCAATCCCCCTCGCCCGCCCCTAACAAAAAGACAGTGCGATTTAGAACATCTTTTTACATATTTCCCCTTTGTTAAAATCTTTATGCCTTGAACACAGAATAAACTGGTTTTCTTTTAAGTGCATCTAGTCACTATCCATTCCAGTTTCAGTTTTTACAACCATTAACAATGCGCTTACGTGCGCCGGTTTTTGTTGCAATCTCATGACTTGAGGCTCCGACATCCTTCTTTTAATGTTTGCTTTTGTGTTCTATATCGTTCCCCCAACAGTGGCGACTCCTTCGATTTTTATCTTGGAACACTGAACACTTCTTTGCAAATGACCTCAACTACCATGTTACCATCTTGGGAGATTTCACGGTTCATAATCATGATTGGTTGACCAATTCATCTGCTACTTCTTCTTTGGGGCGTGAAGCCGGATATTTTGCTATGATCAACAGCCTGAGCAAACTAATTGATCGCCACCACCGCTGAACACGTGTCGAGCTGTCGATCGTGCCCACATCCTCGATCTAATTCTCACTTCGACCCCTTCCTTCTTTTCAGACAAATGTAATATCCCTCCGTTTGGTTCATCGGATCACTGCATTGTTACTCGCCCTATAAGGTTTACCAACACCGATCCGCCATTCACCTCGAGACGCACATTTTGGTACTGCAACTAATGCAACTGGGACGGTTTCCATGATTTCCTAGCTTGCTTTCCCTGGAGCAATTGATCTTTCTTTTCATACTTCTCTTTACAACTCTACGACATTGTTCTTCAAGGGATGCATCTTTTTAGTTCTCACTTTTCCATACCCGACAAACGCAAATTTTCCAAGTGGTTCAACCATGCATGTGACCGTCCTATCCGCCTAAAACGGTCAGCCTCCGCCCACTGACGCACTTCGTCCACTCCCGACTTTCACCAAGGCATCGTGCTAGCTAGAGACAGATGCTCGACAACCATTAGGAGAGCCAAAGAACGGATGGCTACTCACAGCCGTTGATCCAATCATGTCTGGAAGGTCAATGGGTAGAGGCCAGACAAAGCTCAATCTCACAATAACAGCTGCTTGAGCACCTGGCTTCCTTTTCTATCTACACCCGCCCATGGAGGTCAGCAAATAAACACGGTGAGGGGCAGTTTACCGGTCGAAAAACCCCGCTAGATGAACGTAGGAGCGAGATACCTGGGGCTTCCACTCGACGGTGGGAGAAGTCTTCGCACTTCATTGGACAGCTACCGCCCATCCAAGCTGGGCATCCTCCAGTCAATAAGGTGCTGTCCCGTCCAAGATCCGTTTGTCTCATTGGGTGAATGAGACTAAGGGCCGATCTCGAAAAGCGGATCGATAATCAACGCACCAGCGAACAACAAACTTAAACGAAGTCCGAAGGCCTTGCGTGACAGGTCTCTAGAACCTCCCAAACAGGTGCTTCGTTCACGCTCCCGCGTTGGATTTACGCCCCACTCATTTTTGGGTCAGACTCTTGAGTCAAAGGCTCCAGGTTCCCAAAGAAAAACCCCTTCGTCGGTGTGGGCTACCGTGAAGTATGTCGCGCCCTAAAGTCTTAGGCACCCATTAGGAAAACCCTCCTTCCCATCTGTCTAGTTCTTCCTCTCAATCCCGAATAAGCCCAAACGCCTGCCGTCTACAACACCCATCGAATATCACTCAGCGTTTTACCATCAGGGCCAAAAAATCAGAAGTTACAGGATTTTTAAAGCCGAAATTTCCTTTTCACTTAGCCGCGTTCAATGTCTGCACGCTCTATCAGACTGGTCAACAAGCTGCCCTAGTCCAAACCCTTGAAAATTTTAATTTAGGTGTATGCTTTGTCTCCGAAACACGCATACAAGACCCCACTTCCATTATCTCCTTGCGTTCTCCTGATCCAACCTCATCCTCACGCTTCACCCTTCGTGTATCAAGCGATTCGGCGTCCGAAGCTCAGTGTTCCTGCTGTCGGGATTGCGCTAAGTGCTAAGGCTGAACGCTCGCTTCTTGATTGGATTCTAGTCACTGTTTTACATAGAAACCGCCAACCTCTTCAC